GACGGGCAGTTGAAAGAAGTTGAGCTATGTGCTGACAGAACACCCATCCTATATCTGCCCCCGGCCACCAGCAGCTGTCTCTCAGAAGGCTAAATATACTGTATCCAGCGTTTCCAGCGTCAGCTAACCCTGCTCACATGACACTGTATTTTTTAAACAAGATAACATAGACGGGGTTCATATGTCAAAGGCCCCTCAGCAGTGTGGAAGGTGAAAAGGTTAAATCACACTGTGGGGGAGAAAAGTTAATTTTCTTTATGGATTGCGTCATGTATTTTTTATCAGTTGTCATGAAGGGGCCTGTTGCACTAAGAGATTGAATTGTTTCAGCGGCTGTTTGCAGTTGCAGCAGCATGAGCAGCAGCCTGACAAAAGCATTGTAGTAGCAATAGAGAGAAATGTACATCATTATTAGTGGACATTGCTTTTGCTGAAAAGATTCTTCAGCATTTTAGAACAAGAGAACAATTCTTTAATTTCAATATTTCAATATTTACAATCGGATTAGAGGAATGGTTTGCCTTTTCCAGAAAATGAATACCACTCTCAAATCTACTGTATATGATAAATGTAAAGTTATTGCCTGAAAACCGTTAGCTTAGCTTAGCTCAAAGACTAAAACAGCTAGCCTAAACCGAAAGTGGCTTTTGATATATTATTTTTGAACAGCTTTTGAGCTTTATAGGTGTTGGAAGGCAGATTTCGTAGCTAGCTATTAACAGCGTAGTTACAGCGACAGCATTCAGAAATCGTAATAATCTATGCAGCACTGGCTTCGTACAGGCTACCATTTTAGCTGCATCTGATGAAACTTCAACTGCAACCTGAAGTGTTTATTTACACTCTTAACATTGTTAAAGTTGTAAAGTGTTGTTTAGGGGTGACCACCTAGACTTACTAAGAAGTGGCGGTACCCAATAAGTGCCAGTTCTTAGTACTGGTGAGTACCGGCCCATTTTAGGCACTGTAAATAACTGTATACAGTGCATGTAGGCTCACCTAACACCTGCCAAGTAAAGAGAATCATTAGTGTTTTGACAGTGAGTGAAGGTGGATATGGTTTCACCTAGACGCCACGTATACTCATGAACACCTATGCATAACCTGAACTGAACCGAACTTCAGGGGTTCCATTTCAGGAACTAGTGTCCTTAAACTCCCTGCGGCACAGTGTTAATTTTGGCAGCTGTTTTTGATTTAGTCTTAGTCTTAGTCTTTAGACCAGGGGTCTCCAACCTTTCTTCATCTGAGAGCTACTTTCAAAAAATGAAAGTGGCCAAGAGCTACTTGCATCACATCGCTTACATTTATTCACATAGCCCTCATCAGTTGAATTAAGCTATACTTTTGTACACGTGTGAAATTGCAATACCTAAAGCTTATCAAAAATAAGGTCCAAGAAAACGAAGATTTCTCACATATTATTATGGCCCACATAATAAGTACATCACTGAACATTCACATAAGTGTCCTTAATCACCACCTTACAAGCATTTCACTCTTTTGTTAGTGAGATGAATGGCACTGCATGCAGTCCACCATAGAGGTGTATGCTGGACCCACTTAGGTTCACTTAATAGAGTCATTTAAATGTTCATCAGTCGGTCTTGTTCTGTATTTAGATTTCATTCATGTCAGAAAAAGCTGCTTCACAAAGGTATGTAGAACAGAACCAAATAAAGCAGACATTTTCAGTGCTGCTTGGTGAATGTTCTTATAGTTTTCTGGGTCTACAAGGCTCCAGAAATGTTGTGAGTTTTGCTGAGACTTAAGCTGAACATTATTTTGGAGATCTCCACAGGATTGACACTGAACAGTTGTTCAGCCATCTTTTTCTTCTTCTTCTTCGTCTTGACATTAAATTATAAACCATAATAAATCAATTGTATAGGTCTAGCCTCCCTATATCTGTGTGTGAAAATGGTTCCATTCTCAAAAACAAAAAACAAATACTTCTGCAGTCTAGCTGCAGCTTCTAGCTACGGTCTTCTGTTAAAAAAAAGACACTGAATGTCTTGAATGTGGCATCACACACATGACTTGAGTCTGAAAACAGCAGGAGTATTTACAATAGCATTATAAAAACAAAAATAGTGCATGTGGGTGCACACTTACATTATCTGTCTTACTGTTACATAAATCCCATGAATGTATGAGATTAAGTTAGCTTCATCATATCTCAATCAGTGATTAAGTGAATAATAAAGTTTCTATCGGGTCACTATCAGCCTGTCACTCATTATTTTCAGGGAGGGGGCGGGGTTTGGAGGAACGGAGAGGAGACGGTGATCGCGGAAGCTTTCCTCCTGCCTTCACAAACTTTACACAAGTATTTATCAACTGAAAATAGCAAGAGGACATTCATACTCTGCAATCCAAGACTTGATTAAATCCACCAAAAACCTGACATGACGATAACGAGTGTTTTTCAAAAAACACAAATCCCTCCCTGTGTGTCTCTGAGGCGCAGCGACAGGGCCTGATTCAGAGCGGGTCATTCTGCTGTTGGTTCTGGACTGGTGTTGGTGGAGAAAGCAGACTGCTCCGTGTGTGTTGTCGCTGTGCTGCTGTCACGTCTGTTCCTTGATCTCTGCGTCACCGACCATTTGATATTCATGTGACAGAAAAAATTCTAAAATAAAAAAACGTTATGGTCCAGCCGCGGCCGAAAAATCAATAAGCAACCTTACTACGCTATAATCGATAATCGAGCGGCGAGCTACTGAAAAGCTGCCCGCGAGCTACCGGTAGCTCGCGATCGACGTGTTGGAGAGCCCTGCTTTAGACGAAAATGGTTATTAGTTTTAGTCACATTTTAGTCATTTCTATCCTTCATAGTTTTAGTCTAGTTTTAGTCGACGAAAACTGAAAACGTTTTAGTCTAGTTTTAGTCGACGAAAACTCAAAACGTTTTAGTCTAGTTTTAGTCGACGAAAACTCAAAACGTTTTAGTCTACTTTTAGTCAATGAAAAATTACATTTTAGTCAACTTTTAGTCAAAATGTTTTCTCTCTTTAAACCAATTCAGTTAGGCAAATACAGGTATCTGACATTGTAATCAAGGTGACAGCATCAAGTGTTGAAATTCGTAAAGCAACATTTCACTCTCTTAACATTTTACTTGTGTAATATCTAGGGATGGGTATCGTTAAGGTTTTCTACGGTACTATTAGTCTTATCAATACTGCTTATCGATCCGGTACTTTAACGGCATTCTTGTATTTACTTTTTGTTATTTTTTTAAAGGAAAAAACTAACAAATTGTTAACCGAATTAATTGCTTTATTTAAATGTGAAATAAATGAAATATATATAATTATTTTTAAATATTGTACTGTACTTGAGTAAAATGTTGAGGTACTTGTACTTTACTGGAGTATTTAAATGTTTTGCTACTGTGTACTTCTACTCCACTACAGTTCAGAGGTACATGGTGTACTTCTCCTCCACTACATGTATTTAATACCTTTAGTTACTTTACAGATGTGGATGAATGATGTGAAATATAATCAAGTGTTAACTCACACTTTAGTTCCACCTGGAGTAAATTCACAAGCTACCCTGCAGTATACAAAGTCCTTCAAACTAGCTGCACCTTTACCAGCTTTGAGAACACTTTAATGATCAATCATTATAAAACATATCATATATATTATTCTGAAATGGACCAATCTGCACAATGACTACTTTTACTGTCGCTACTTTAAATATATTTTGATGATCATACTTTGACTTGAGGAACTCTTCCTACACTATGGTATTTTTTTACTTAGCTACAAGATCTGAGTACTTCTCCCACCTCTGCACACCTGATGTGATAACGTTACTCGTAATTGGGGCAACAGAGCTACGAGTTAAGGAAGTCGAAAATTGTGCATTTCTCCGACTGAATATGACGCCTTTTGGCCGGCTGTTTGGACAGACTACTCTACTCGTGTCAACGCGAAAACATGGCAAACGAGCTTTGTCCACATCGAGACTTGTAGAGTGTCTCTATACTCTCTGAACGCTCCGTCCCCGGCAGATCTCTGTGTGCCGCTGCAGCGTGTCTGTTAGGCCCCGCCCCGCCCCCGCACACAGAGAGGAGATCGCTCTTCTGGAGTGAAGAGAGCGGAAATAATGATATTGCAAGTTAGAAATGTAAGATGCATTTTGACAGACAAGACGGGCAATTGGGGGGGAAATACCCTGCATTTTAAATGTCCGATAGTCCACCATTAACACCTTAGTCCCGTCTCGTCTCGTCAACGAAAACTAAATATACATTTCGTCAATTTTTCGTTATCAAGAATCTATTTTTAGCTCGTCATCGTCTCGTCTTAGTCATGTAAAAAAGGTCGTTGACGAACATTTTTCGTCATAGTTTTCGTTGACGAAATTAACACTGCTGCGGCACAGTTACAGTAGCCTACACTGCGTTAAGTTGATTTATAACAGGTTAGACATGGTAGTAATTACTGTTTAGATATGTTTATAGACACAGATACTTTCACATAGGGGTCATATTGTACTACTGGTTGTACTATTTTAAGCTATTGCAATGCAACCACAATAAAATGTGTTTTTTACACGAGGAAAGAAGTCTCAGTGTGTTAACGTAAAAGAAGAACTAAGTCTAAACTTTAATAAATCAGTATTTCTGTTTCATACTCTTTCCCTTTCTGTCCTCTTTCTCATAAGAAGAATACAATTTCAGTTTCACCCCGAAGGATGTGAAACTCTCATGCTGACAACTATGAATAGCTCTCGCCTTAATGCACAGTTCATGTGGACTAGAGCAATGTATCCACTCGGCTAAACATTATTATTTCATGCTTTCCTTCCCTGAATCTATACAACCTTTTTTTATTTTTTAGCATATTGTGATAGTAAGCAATAAAGCCTGTGATCACATGGGCCGTATTCAGAATGAACGAGATTGGAGTATAGTATAATGTATATGCTAATATTAAGCTTTCAATGAGAATATGTTGGCTAACTGATTGTCTTTGTGTTCTTAGGGTAAAGGAATGGGTGGACCAGATGCAAAAAGAGCTGATCTCATTAACAGACACAGCCAGTGGAATGGAGAACCTAATACAGGTAAGCATGAATTTGTATGCCTCTAGACCAGGGATGGGCAAATGGCGGCCCTCAGATTAATTTCTTTTTAAATGATTTTACTTGTAGTACTGATACCGTCCACTAGACTCCTAGTTACGTCGCGAGCTGCGTACATGATTTCGTTCGGCAGCCAAATACGGCAAAATAATCTGTGACGCGTTTGTGTGTATTGTGTTTGTTTCCCGGGGAAATACTCATAAGAAACACCGGCTGTTGTTATGCCTGCTGTGACGTTAAGTTACCGCTTGTAATTATGCCTTTACAAGCTTAAAAGTTGTATTTATCATCTGAATTTGGCGAAACAAGTTTAATATTCTAAAAACCAAAACTATGTTTATTTGAAATCAGATGAAAACAAACTGTCACGGACCCTGCCGTGTTATCTATGATTACTATACGCTTTTCATTCATAATTTCAGCGGGAGGGAGGGGGAGCGGCGCTGAGGAACAGCAGAGTGCGGGTTGACAGGTGCCTGTGTTGACATTCCCCTTATTGTGGAATAAGGGGAATGCAGACAGGCTACAAGTGTCTTAGGTTCAAGTTATACAACTAATGTCTGGGTTAGTGTTCATGACTTCATGTTTATGTCATCTTAATATTTAATCTTGATGTACACACATTTTCCGTGCTTTCCAATAGTTTAAAATAGTTTTATTCCACTGTTAAATAACCTGTTCAATACAAACATGCCACTTATAAAAATTAAATAACATTTCTGTGAACTGATATTTGTTTAGTGAGCTTATTAGAGGATGTTCCCTGAAAGATTGTAAAATGTCAATGAAGATGTCAGACTTAGTATATTTGTTAATAATTACATACAATACATGGAATTTGTGTGTGTGTGAGTTCCAAGTGAATCTGCGGCCGCCTGGTGGCCAGCAAGGGCGCCGGAAGCGGGGGGGCCATTGGCCCCCCCACTTTTCAGCCCTGCCCCACATTTTCGCAGCAGCGGATGCCGCGGAACACTGTACAAATCCCGTTTCAATAATTCCCCTCTACTCTAAAGACGCATCTAAAACGCGATCTGATCTAGCTGTGTATATTTTGTTATTTGTGATTGTTATATTCAATCTCATTAGCTACAGGCATTTTGTAAAGGGAAAATGACAGCTCTCACTCGCCACTCTGCTCTTCCAGCACCGCTTCCCCTCCCTCTGTTGAAATTATGAATGTAAGGCGTATAGTAATCATAGATAACACGGCAGGGTCCGTTACAGTTTGTTTTTATCTGATTTCAAATAAACAAAGTCTTGGCTTTCAGAATATTAAACTTGTTTCTGCAAATTCAGATGATAAATACAACTTTGAAAGCTTGTAATGGCATAATTACAAGCGGAGAACGGACGGAGTAACAGCAGGCATAACAACAGCCGGTGTTTTCCCCGGGAAACAAACACAATACACACAAACGCAAAATTACACAAACACACACACACGTATACGGGCTTCCCCCAGACCAGTAATCCAAACGAAAATATCTTCCCCCCCGTACTAATTTGATCATTTGCTCCGCTAATAATCAATCAGATCGATGGATTCCAGAGAAGAGGAAACTTTAAAGGTCTTTTTCTCAAAATGATGACTAACAGTCATTATATAATGTGACATATTTTGCTTAATATTTTGAGTACAAAAACAATCCTGATATAGCCTATCATTAGAAAGCTAGGAATCTCCTCTTTCCAACAGTGTATACAACTCAAAATGTGTCTTCGGGTCAATGCAACAGTTTCTTCCCCTCCGCTACCGGCCTCTTAAACAACAACAAGGCGCGGCCCCCCCCCGACACTTTACCTCTGCCACATCATAGACTATGCATTACATTAATGCACACAATGTTCATACTCCTTACTGCACATATTCTTATTTCGCCTTTCAGTTTATATTCTAAAATTCATACATAGCATTCTATTTCCATGTAAATACTGCTTTATTTAATTTGCATTGCTATTTAACTGTATTTTATTACGGTTGTGTAAAAGATTTTTTGTTTTATATTAGATTTCTTGTTTTTTATATTTGATGTATGCACCATGACATAAAGTCAAATTCCTAGTATGTGTGAACCTACCTGGCAATAAACCTGTTTCTGATTCTGATTTCGATGGAGCAGGTCACTTTGCATTAAGTAAAATAAAGCAGGCAGACATAACAGGAAGAATATGTACATTTTAACCCAATCAAATAGGACATTGTCACACCATTCAAATGTATCCATATACATTACAACCAATAAAAAAGCTTAGATTTGTTTATCTGTTACGTTGTTTACTTTATTTGTTACGTTGTTCTGTGTGTGTCAGCCGTTAACCAGATAGAAATAATAGATGCAAACATGTCAGAAGAACCAGCGCAGAAGAAAACAAAATACAGTCAATCTAAACTTCACTTTAACAACTGGAAGGTCACATCCCTGACATCCACATCTCCAGAGCCTGGACCTGGTCCTTCATCAATCATAGAAGAACCAGCGAAGCCAGATGAACCCCAAAGCAGCAGCTCTCCGGCCGCAGAGACTGTCAAAACCGCTGCCGCCGTTGAACCGAAACAGGCTGGTTCCGACTGCATGGAGGTTTGTTGTCGGGACATTGAGGCAGGTAAAGCTGTACAGCTAACTGTCGAAAAAAAGGAGACCGCTAGATTATTTGGGCAAAGAGAAAGGTACTTCAACGCAGAGTGGTACAAAAACAGAGAGTGGATAATTCTTTGCAAAACCACGAAACGGGCCTTCTGTGAAATATGCAGATTTGCTGCTGTCAAACGGCTTGTCACATTCTCAAAATGTAGAGATGACAGCTTTGTAAATACCGGAGTTAATAACTGGAAAAAGTGCCCAAGCCTCCTGGACAGCCACGAAAAATCTCATTACCATTGTATTCAAAAAAAGTGCGCTTTCTTCAATCAAACACCAGTCAACATACAGCTTGTCAAACAACAGCGTATTGAGCAGGAAAAAAGAAGCGATGGAATGATGGAGCAACTGCGCTGTCTGCAGTTTCTAACCCGACAGGGCCTAGCAATAAGGGGGCATGCGGATAAGGAGAGCAATTTCCAAAAGCTAGTTGAACTCGTAGTTGAGAAAAACCCCACTCTGAAAAGCTTCATGCTCACCGGGAAATATGCATCACACGAGACAATTAATGAACTAATAAATCAAATGTATCGGGAGTCTCTCACCACTCTATTAACTGAAATTAAAAGCAATGCAAAACACTATGCAGTTATTGTGGATGAAACTCGCGATTGCTCCGGGCATGAACAGTTGTCTCTGACTGTACGATGGGTATCAGCTGATTATGTTGTCCATGAAGACTTCATAGGAATGTATGACTGTCCTAAGACTGACGCAGAATCAATAACCCTTACTATTAAGGACATGTTAATGAGATGCGGCCTGGACATTGGTGACATGAGAGGGCAAACCTACGATGGCGCATCTGTTCTACAGGGACAAATGTCAGGTGTGGCCAAACGTTTTAAAGACATCAATCCCAAAGCAGTCTCAATGCATTGCACAAATCACAGTTTGAACCTAATTCTTCAGGAAGCTGCTTCAAAGTGCAACATTGTACGTGGTGCCTTCAGTTTAGTTCACGACATACATGAGATAATCAACAACTCACCAAAACGACTTGCCATCTTTAAAAACATTAGGGATGCTGCTGCTGCCTCTCCTGGAGCCAGTGCTGGCCTCACACCGCTCTGCCCCACTCGCTGGACAGCCAGAGGCAGTGCAATCAAATCCTTGCTTGCCAATTACGAAGCTGTCTACGACACTTTGGATGAAATAATCCAAATGGGGGGGAACACAGAAGCAAGCAAAAAGGCACCAGGGTTGCAGGCATTGATGACTCAATTCAGTGTTTTCTTTGGACTGAAAGTGTGTCTTAAACTGTTTTCTTCTGCGGAAGAGGTGGCTTGGGTGCTCCAGTCCAAAGACCTCTCAGCAGAGACAGTCAAGTCAGCAGTGCAGATGCTCCAGACACACTACACAAACCTGAGGTCCACAGAGGCATTCCACAGCATCTTTGAAGATGCCCAAAGAACGAGCATGAACGACCTGGTCCAGGCACCGGCTCTTCCTCCAAGGCGGCGCGCTCCACGCCGTTATGATGATGGGGATGCACCTCATCAGTGGGAAAATCCAGAGGACTGCTTCAGGAGCCAGTTCTTTGAGGTAGTTGACCTGCTCACTTCTGAGCTGACTCGCAGGTTTAACCAACCCACTCTGCTTCTGCTGATGAGCATGGAACAGGTACTCCTCACAGCAGTAAACAGTCCCCCGGGATTCAACAGCATCAACATCCCCCAAAATCTGGTCGACATGTACACAGGTGATGTTGACATGGAACGGCTGTCCACCCAGTTGTCACTGTTGCCAGCAGTTTTGCAGGCACACAACAGTTCCGCCGCTGAAAGACCCATCACTCAGGTGACAAAGGTGGCCACAATCGCGGACATGCTGGCGGCACAGGGACGAGGCACGCAATCCCTCTTCAGTGAAGTGGACAAGCTTCTACGGCTGTATTTGACTGTGCCGATGTCCAATGCAACAGCTGAGCGGAGCTTCTCCAGCCTCCGTCGGTTGAAGACGTTCCTTCGTTCAACTATGTCCGAGCGCCGCTTAAATCACCTTCTCTTCCTCCACATCCACAAAGATTTAACCGATGGCCTGGACCTCAGAAAAGTGCTCCGGAGTTTCTGCTTTGCCAGTGAGCGAAGGGAGGTTTACTTTGGCAAAATTTAGGAAGATGGGGTAGATTTAGCCACGAGGGGATTTTTTTTGCTTTACCCTAATGTATTGTGGGACATTTGTTTGAAGGTTGCCACCCTCATCTGTTATTGGACATTTTTGTCATGTGATTTTAATTACACAACATCACAGCTTTTATACAGCTTACTGTTAACAAGCTTGTTATACGTTCTTTTCACAAGAATTGTTGTTTGGTTCGGTTAAATAAATAATTTATGTCCATTTCTTGAATTTCTTGAAATAAGTTTCATGAATTGCATTACCTGTAGATGCTGCACCGGTCTCAACGCTGTGTGTGTCCGTCAGGAAACACACTGTTTACAAGTAGTTCCAGCAAACATCCACTGATAAACTGCGATGTTAACAACCTCATGATAACCTAGGATCATACCTGTGTTTAGTCTAGAAAAAGGTAATTGTGTGCATTTTATTATAAAGTTGTGTATATTTACAGACTGTTGCAAAAACTAAGAAGCTTATAAACATCAGGTTTAAAACTAAAAGAGCTTTACAAAAAAGTAACAAAATTAAAGATGTTTGGAGTTTTATTTTAGTTATTAATTTAAAAAAAATTCAAAGAGATGCTGATTTGAAACCGTTGTTACATACAGTTACGGCATTTCCTGTTTCTGCCGGAGAGGGGGAAGTTTGTCCCAAAGCTTGCGGCTGTATTTACTCCATCCATCTGACAGGAGGGAGCCTCATGTGTCACTCCACGGAGTTCACTCCGTTACGGAGGGGGAGTGTATAGGGGTAGGCAGGGTGTAGGGCGTGGTTTGGGATTGGGCCATACTCGCGCACTTTTTTGGCCCCCCCACTTCTAAAATGAATCCGGCGCGCCTGGTGGCCAGTACATAAATTATGTGGCCCCCACCACCATCCAAGTTGCCCATCCCTGCTCTAGACCCACATAACTCAATTAATAAGATTAGATTTTCATGGTTTAAAGGGCAAGGTCAAAGTTCAATGCCTGTCCAAATTCTCATTAAATCAATATCTGAAAAATTGCTTAAAGGAGGAATTTCTATTATGATTGATTTTATTTCAGTTAGACTTAAAGTAAAGCCCACTGCGATGGTTCAGTATTGACAAGACTTACCGTGTGTCATACTGTAAGTCTCACTCTTGCTAACCTTCCATGACCTCAGCTGTCACAACATATCAGCAGGCTATACATAGCAGCTTTTCATTTGACATAATGCTGAATCACTGCATTCTGCCAGCCCAATGTACAGGCTCAGATGATATCTGCGTCATCAACAGGAATGGCCAGACCTTGCACACACATACGAGCCCACATCAGACAAAACAGAAGAGGCTCTATAGATCCACATTGATTTACATAATGCATCACTGGAATCGGTACAAAACTTGTTTTTCCTGTGGTGGCCCAACTTCCACATATCTGGCATTATTTCTGGTAACCACAACCTTTGAAACTGTTGCTGTAGAAGAAGCAAATACTTTCGGGCACCATCATTTAAATGTTTTTATGAAAAACCTTCTAATAATGTCAATTAAAGGCACGATTTGTAGACTGTTATGTGCACAGTTGTGTCACTGGGAATCCTATTATTTTTAATGAAGGGACTCCAAATCTAAAGCTTAACATTGTCACCTTAAGTTTCTAAAATACAGATTTAAGAATGATAATACTAAGACAAATCCTGCTGATACTTTGTTATAATTTAATCTAAAATCAGGAGTATTACTAATATTGCAATAAAAACAAAATCCGTTAGATGCCTGGGGGATGAAGACAAATACATGCACGCGCCTCAGTTCTGTGGTTTGAATGTCGGATAATAAAAACCCTCTAGGCTGCTAAATAATTGTCTGTTTGGCATTTGTGTTTCTTATTTCTTTTGCTGGAACATATTCCATAACACAGTCTTGTTACATAACCTGACATTGCAATTTAATCAGTGGACATGTTGCTTTTAAATCATTGTGCCTGGGTCAGTGGGGTCTGACAAAGAATAGAAGCTGACCACAGATGCAGAAAAAAAACATTCTCAGCCTCAGATACAGTCATTCTGTAGATGGGAAAATATGTGAAGGCTGAGAAAGTCAGTTTAAGGGGTAGAACACGCCACTCTTAATGTTTGTCATTGGAACAAAATGTTGAAATCAAATGTCTGGGGATGACCGTTTATAGGAATAAGGCACCACACCCTTTGACCGTTTCACCTCCCATCCTGTCCACATGTCATCATCATACAGCTCACTCATTCCTTTTAACTGGACTGCTGCCATGGCACTGCAGGGTCACCTGACAAAAAAATCCGGCTCATTTATTGATGCAACACAAAGCAACTACGGCGTGGGCCAATCAAAGGCATGCAGTTGCATAGTGTTCCCTGGTGGATCAGGGGTCCAGGAGCCAGGCTTGAACTGCTGAGCGGTGTGGAGTCTGACAACCCTTCAAACTCAAGAATCTATTTTTCAAATTGGCCTTCTTTTGAGTGGGATTACCTTGACTCACCACTACCTGAACAAATCAAATCCCCCTCCAACACAGCCTGGGGTCTTTATAAATCAGGTCTGTTTTCAGTGAACACCTTCTAGCTGATAAAGACTTTCCGGCAAAGACAGTTGTTGTAATGTGAGGTGCAGGTGATAAAACATCACAATTGGAGAGAGGGTTTTCTGAGTGGAATTTCTAGCCTTCAACAAAAAAACTGTATTTTACAGAATTATTACCTGCTCTCTCACTGACAAAAGGAACAATTCCAATTCTCTCCCCTCTCTTTCCAGTCACATTTATAGCAGACAGCCTGCCTTCACAATTCAATCTGGCAAATCAGATCACAAATCAGAATGAGAGTTAATTAAACAGAGAACTAAACATTGGTTCCTACATCTAACAAAATCCTCAAAGCTTAAAGGTAGGGTAGGTAAGTTTGAGAAACCGGCTCGAGATCGCTAGAATTTGAAAATACACAACTGGAGAAAATCTGCCACTTCCTTACAGAGCCCCTTCTCCAACACACACGAACGCGCACATGACCAATGAGGGCACGAGATAAGTTTGTGCACAGATGGAAGGCTGACAGGCAGGTAGGCCATCCAGTTATTTTAGCCGGGCCGGCTAAAATTATTGGTCGTGCTTTTTACAGTATTACGGCTTCCACAGATGACACTTTTTTTATGGATTTTTTGTCAAAGCACTTAAGATATTCATTGCTATCTGGATGTTAAGAGCATTCCATGGAATATAACAAAAAGTGTATCTCGAGCCGGTTTCTCAAACTTACCTACCCCACCTTTAAGTCAATTCATAATTTTATTTACAAAAATATCGTACATCCAAAACCAAACAATTCTGCAAAAAAACAGATTTGTTTTTAAGTTAATTGGCCAGCATTACATCTCATATTATTTAACCAATGACATTTGAGACTCCACCTACTCCTACAAAACATATAATGAGTACTTTGGAGGCGCCCCCCCCCCCCCTATGAGCACTGTCACAAGATGGCTTCCAGGACTGAAACACAGGAAATGGTGACCACTTTCATGAATGTGTGTCTTTTAAACATAATTTTCAGAAGTAAAATGAATTGAAATGCATGGTATATGTATTTGCCTATGTATTGATTAAATGAAATAAAGAGGTCAAATGCCTACCTTTCTTTACAAACAAAGGGCTTAGCCAAATGTTAGTGAGGGAGTCTGTGCTTCCTCTCAACATTGTTTGTCCAGTTTAATTATGCTTATCTCTTACCCGTGCTTTTCTCTTTTTATTGTCCCAGATATATCATAAACACAGACCTCACTTCAGCATTGAGACCAACAACGCACAGGAACTGGTTGCCACAGCTGCTGGGAATATAGAGAAGCTGCTGACTAACCGCTCCCAAGCTCTGAGGGTGAGTGTGACACACGAAAATGGGACACTTGAAAAATGTAGCAACTCTGTGTTGAGGAGAATTGAGGGGTTTAGGTATTTCTTCCTCTTTGTTATAAAAGCTGTAATTTTTTGTTTGAAATAGGAATATAAAATGCATTTTTAGTCTGTCTGTGAGACCAGGCCTAGCGTCTCTCTTCTACAGAAACCCACAGAAACAATCTGCTCCTCCTCATTTCACGACAGAGCGGACACTGGAAACAGCCACTGCCTCAGGCCATGCACTGATCTAACATGAGCCGACATCCTCCAGCTAGATGACTTAATTCAAAGTTACCAGTCTGGTTTGCTACGTAACAAAAAATGACAACATTTGGGGAAAACATGTGTGGATATGATGCATGTTTTGAAACGTATAATATTACAGATGACGCTGTTTAGTTTCAACTTTCAGGAATATTTTGTCTTTCCTTGGGATGACTGAAACAAATCTGCCCTTCTTCATAATTCATACCTGCTGCTTCCATGGGTAATCTTTCTGATTCTAACGGAGAGAAAATGCTTGAAGGCTAAGCTGGAAATGCTTTTATTTGATTTTCAAGTGTTGCCTGCAGTGCTAACCACAAGTGGCTGAATTCTTCTTGTTGAATGTCGGACAAAGCCATTCAAAGACCTTGGAAGAGCTGTGAGGTTGTCGGATTGTGTTCCTTTGCTTGTGTAACCACACCGCATATCTTAAGTTGAATCTGTTTATCTTATACAACCTTCTGACAAATCGTAGACATGTTAGCTGAGACTGAAGATTATTCATTTTGGCTGAATATGGATAACGATGATGATCCGTGGGGTTGGTCCACTACTTTGGACCAGACTGAAAGCCCCACCAGCCATTGGACATTTTCGTTTTTTAGTGAAATCTCTTGACGACTGTTTATAGTTTACTCGACTACCAGATTACCAGAGGTGGGAAAAGAACTCAGATTTAGTCCTTAAGTAAAAGTAGAAGTATCAAAGTACTCTGTAACAAAAATATACTTAAAGTTCTAATAGTAGTAATAGTTATGCAGATTGGTCCATTTCAGAATAATATATATGATATGTTTTATAATGATTGATCATTAAAGTGTTCTCAAAGCTGGTAAAGGTGCAGCTAGTTTAATGACTTTGTATACTGCAGGGTAGCTTGTGAATTTACTCCAGGTGGAACTAAAGTCTGATTTAAGACTTGATTATATTTCACATCATTCATTCAAATCTGCAAAGTAACTAAAGCTATTAAATACATGTAATGGAGTAAAAGTACACCATTTACCTCTCAATTGTAATGAAATACAAAGTAGCAAAAGATGGACACGTAAAGTACAAGTACCTCAAAATTGTACTTAAGTATAGTCAGGGGCGTCGCCTGGACCTGAAAACATTCGGGGCTTAGCCCACAGTGGCGGCGGCACTACAGTGGCATTTTTCACTGCAACACTCCCCACACGCACACACACAGTACACCTGCGACTGTTACAATGAAGGCTCGATAATCAGCTCACGGCATATAGGCAGGGGTAAAGTGGTATTTTTTATGAGTGGGGGGCTCACCTCCTCTAGGGGGGGTCCGGGGGAATGCTCCCCAGGGAAGATTTGTTTTTAAATATTGAAGTTAAAGCATCAATCTGGTGCACTTTGAGAGCAAAATGAAGAGATCTATGGATACCTCTCTTCACCCATATGAAGCAGAACTGTAAACAGATGTACTTTTTCTTTATGGATATTTGACTAATCACTCTCCTTTTAAACTGTATTCTTGTTTTACTGCCATATAGTATTTCATAACTGTTTTTCCTTTATTCTCTTATTTTTTTTATAACTATAATCATCATATGAAGGTGTGCCGCGGAAATAATCTTTTGAATAATTTGTGACCAAACCGTTTGAGACCCACTGAAATAACTTAGACTAAAGTTAACTATCTAAACACTCAGAGAGTCCTTTAGCTCACCTGAGTCTCTCAGTCTGAGAGGAGAGGACTCTCCTCCAGCTCCTTATGTCCGTTAGTGCAGCTAGCTAACCAGATGCTAACAACACGGTCCATGCTGGTACTGGTACTGGTACTGGTCCCTCCCTCCCTCTCTCTCTCTATCACACTATTGCCACACACACACACAGAGCCGAGCTTGAATGACACAAGCACACGTTTATTTCCATGCAACTCTCTGATTGGTCTGGTGTCATGCCTCTGTTGCATTCACTGAACACGGGAAATTACAGTGCTGCCGTCCTCTCTTGTGTCATGATGAGGTTCACGTAAAGCACGGTTAATGTATTATATTATTGAGGGAGAATTGTCCGGGGCTACAGAAAAAACATTCGGGGCTAAAGCCCCGGATGCCCAGGCCAGGCGACGCCACTGAGTATAGTACTTCTAGTAAATCTACTTAGTTACTCTCCACCACTGCAGATTACCATGTTGCCTATTTACTTTGGTGACGCCCTGGTCGTTTATTAAGCACACCCTGCAGGTCACTTATCTCTATCTCATTATCCCCTATATAGAAATTGGCAACATATGTGTTGGGACATTCATGGATTTACCCTTACGAGAACCTCTGACTATGACTGCTGGGCCACTCTGAGATTCAGACTATTTTTGATACCAATGCATCCACTGTTGGATAGTTTAGCATTACATTTTAAACATTTGTGTTTAGTATTAACCAATGTTTACATGGTAGTTGCTAAACTCAGATGGTGATAGATGACCTGCTAAACATCCAACCCAGTCTCACGGCATTTCGTGTTATAGTCACGACATTTAATCTATTGATTCGTGTTCACCAACACGATTTTTACCCTTTTTTTCGTGTCACACAGAACGATTTTAAAAGCAATGTATTTCTATTGGTAGTATGTTTCGTGCCTGCACCACGTCTTTTTGTCCGGTCGGGTCTTGGAAGACCGGAAGCTGTGTGGTTCATAAAAACATTTTCTTACTCAATATCAAGCCACGATTATTGTTTTAAATCCTATAATGTCGGACTTTTTTTGCCGTCCGTGAGGAAAAGAAATGGGGCTCAGAGCCTCAGAATACTGAAATCTGTATTTTTTAAATATTTTTTTCCTTTTAATTTGTTATTCTTTTCTAAATAACACACTGTTATTTACTCAACAATAACACACAATTATCCTTGTTTTTATTTGTTTCATTCTATAATATCGGGCTTTTTTGCCGTCCGTCAGGAACTGAATTTCAAAATAAAGTCACCGGAAACAGACATAGGCGATTACACACCCACTGAACTGATTACCCAAGATCCTCAGCTATGGTTGAAGCTCGGTGATTGGATGTTTTAGCCGCAATGCACGTTGGGATATGGTGTTAATGCAATATGAAATAACTATGAACAGAATTGCGTTGCCAGGCAACAGCTTGGGGTGAAAACAGTATTTCCGGTCTCAAAGTTTGCATAGTAATCTGCAGTACTCATCAACTAAAAACATCAGTTTATCCTTGAAACCACGGCAGACTATCCAAAACTAGACTCGAACGGGTCCTGCCCCGCCCCCCCCCCCCTAGAACTACACATGCTGGCTATTGTGTTTCGCAACATGTTCTATGGCACGTTTCTACTGGGAATTGTATTTTTAAAAGACGTTTTCGTTTTTCCCACAGTTAGAAGTTGCCAGTATTAAACTGTGTACACCCTGGAGCTTTAGGGGATAAGAAACACAGTGGTGTTATCAAATTTAAAACATATAATTAATAAATGTGTGAAAATTGCTTGTGTCCATAATGGGCAGCATTAATGGCGCATCTTCCACGTGCCGGTTGCATCTCACCACCGGAAGTTCTTGAGGTTTGCCTTTCAGGGCAGACACTATCAGTTCCGGGTGCTTCCCTTTGGTTTCTCCCTCTCGCCAAGGGTGTTCACCAGGGTCGTGGCGGCAGCTCTCGCACCCCTGCAGGCGCAGGGCGTGAAGGTCCTGCCGTATTTAGACGGCTGGTTTTGCCTTTTATCTCACGTAGCCCAGTTGGGTCAGTAACACCGGGAGGAGTTGCCTGGACCCAACAGGTCACTTACCTGGGGATGGTCCTAGATTCGGCCGCCATGAGGGCCTACCTGTCACTTCGTCATGTGGACGACATTTTCCACCTTCTTCCCATCTTCAGGCTGGGCAAGATGGTGCCTTATATTCAGTTCCTCCGGCTCTTGGGCGGACTGACGGCTGCCTCAGCCGTTGTGCCCTTAGGCCTGCTGTCGCTGCGCCCCATGCAAATGTGGCTGAACAGCCTTCACTTGGACGCCAAGTGGCACAGGCACAGAAGAGTCAGGGTGTCTCAGTGGTGCCTCCACTCTCTGTCCCGCTGGAGGGACAGGGCCTATCTTTTGATGGGCCTGCCCAGGGGCGCCATCCCATCCCGCCGGGAGACTGTCACTGCAGATGCAGGTCTCTCAGGGTGGGGTGCAGTGTGGCAGGGCAGGACTGTTCAGGGTCAGTGGTCTGCCCAGGAGGATGCACGCCATGTCAACGTGCTAGAGCTTCGGGCTGTGCAGCTTGCACTCACGCACTTTTTACCCCAACTGGGGGGCAAGCATGTGCTTGTTCCTTCGGACAACATGCCCACTGTTGCCCAGACTGCAGTCCCTTCTAGATAGTGGACGTTCTCACTCCACTCAGAGTTTATGTGGCTGCTATTCCTGCCCGACATGTTCGGGTTGACGGCGCCACGGTGGGGTGCCACAGGTCGGTGTCCCTCTTCCTGAGAGGGGCTTTACGGCAGCGTCCCCCTAGCGCCCAGAGGGCTCCGGCTCGGGACCTGCCCCTCCTGCTGGATGCCCTATCATTTCCTCCCTTCGAGCCCCTGGCCCAGGTGGAGCTTAAGTGGCTGTCCACGAAGGCAGCATTTCTGCTTGCCATAACCTCAGGGAAGCGAGTTGGGGAGTTGCATGCCCTCTCCGTGAGCGATACATACCTGAGGTGGGACTCTCAGGTGTTGCCCTTTGGGCAAATGTGGCGTTCCTGCCAAGGTCC